GATGTGGACTGTCTGGCAGGGAGCTGGGAGGAAGCAAAGATGTGGACTGTCTGGCAGGGAGCTGGGAGGAAGCAAAGATGTGGACTGTCTGTGTGTCACCGTGAACTGGGTTGGGAAACACTGACAAAGTGGCTTGTAAGAGTGTAGAAGAGTATTATTCCTCTATAGAGAAATGTTACGGTAGAAAGTGTTTTTGGTTCTTTGCTCATGAGCCGAGTAGTTGAACACATTTCTGAGCTCCTGCTTTTGTACCAGTTCTAAACTGTTCTCTAATGATTATCTACATTTCACTTTGAATACTTGAGCAGGTGCTGTTTGTCCCGATTGCTCTTTCCTTGACTGTAACTGTTCCCTGCTGCTCTGATAAACAGCTGTGATGCTGTGGCTTTTTACGGCGTCCTGTTCCTGTCCTCCTGTCAGTGCTGATCACCGCGGACGTGTCTCCCTCCCCGTACCCAGGTGTTCTCCTGCCGGCTCGGCAGCGAGCAGGAGACGGCGCTGTCCATCATCGACCCCGTCAATGTGCAGGTAGAGCTCTGTGGAAGCCCCACCTATCAGAGCAGCTCCGGCCTCCTGGATGCCTTCAACATGGAGGACATCCCCCCCCTGCTGGAGGTGTGCAGGCATTGCAAGCATTTAGTCAGGAGGCGCCAGTTCAAATCATGTTCAGAACACCAGAACATTTTCTTTACAGATTCAGTTCCCGGCCCTGGACATCCGTCTCTCCTACAATGACGTGCAGCTGTTCCTGGCCATCGCCAAGTCCATCCCCACCTCCAGCTCCCTGGCGCCCAGTGACCCCGCCCCCTGCAAGCCGCCGGGCCCATCTGCAGCCGGCCCTGATTCCTCTGCAAGTCAGAAGGACCTTTTCAGGCAGAAGACGCAGGCCTTACTGGGTATGAGTGTCATTGTTACAGAGCCTCTATTGCCCATATATTCTTTGCATCTTTTTCAGCTTTCCACTATATCCATTGTAGAAACTTCCATCTACACTATGATGCCACAATATTAGTCAAACATCTTACACTGATCTTAAGATCAGTATCAAGCAGCCACCCAGTACAGATGTATTGACTGAGAGTCACAATAAGCAATGGACAGAAAAGCGTTAACAGCGATATCTCCTGTACAGTCGCATAACCAGAAGCTCCCTTTTTTGTGCGAAAAAGGTGTAAACTGGGCAGCTGTATTGACATGTGAGGTGTTTTACGTGCTCCTGCAGTTTGACCAATGGGGTTAAGGATAAAGATGAGAGAATTTTTGCCATTTGCAGAAGTATAGGTACAGTGGAATGCTTCTCTCTGCATACGCCATCTTGTTCATCATAGCTTGTGGGTCTCAGCATAGGGTTAGCCGACATTCAGCGCCCTGGGAGCCAAGGACCTCATTCAAGGGCCCACAGATATGGGGCCCAGGGGCTCAAACCGACGACCTTCCGACCCCAGGCGCACAGACTTAGCCCACTGAGCTACTCGGCACCCCCTAAGGAGACCTCGTAGCTGCTGGAGGATTTTGAAGGATTCCCTCAAATCCCAGGGTGATGTTTCCACTCCCAAGAGTAGGAATTCTGGGAAAGAGGAGCAGGACCCCAATGAAGACAGGAGGGCCTTCAAGGTGAATAACACGTTACTCTCGTCTTCAGAGGGCCAGCTGGCCCGCCTGCAGGACCTGGGTTTTAAGAAGGAGGACTGTCGAAGGGCCCTGATCCTCTGCACAGGTGGGTGTCACCAGGGTCCTCGCTGCTGAAGACCAAAGTCCTGTTTCCATTATATTAAATGGGAAAAATTATTTCACCACCAAAAAAACCCCAAACATTTTTTTTTTATCACTAGAGCATTTTAATCTAGAAAAAATATCAAAGGCTAAATATGAAAAAACTATGAAATGTCAAGACGATGCAAATGTTATGACAAAGACTGAATGCTTTTCAATAGTCTGTTTATTCTATAGTTCACACATGGCTCACTTGTCTAATTTATTCCACACGACATTCTTTGGCTGGAAACAGTCGTGCCGAGGAAGTTGTGCAGATTTTTTTTTTTTTTTTTTTTACGCACAATGTTTGGCTTATGATAATGTTGATGTGAATCACAGCTTTTTTTAAAGTATATGCTATGGTTGAAAAACATATTGAGGAGATTGAACTTCTGATATTAAACCTGATGATCCATTATGACAAAAAAAGTGAATTAACACAAATCGAGGGATTGATGTAGTCAGAAGTGGCCTTTGAAAAAACAATCTGATATATTAACAGGTAAATATAATGATAATTGAATTTCTACTCATAGCCTACAATTGCTAATTATGACTGTGGAACCATTGTAGCAGTGACTGTGAAATGTGGGCGTGTGTCATAATGTGGGCTGTGATTCGTCAGGGCAACTGGACCAGGCCGCCACGTGGCTGCTGGAGAATGCGGAGATGAGCACCTCGTCAGCAGAGGGGGGGGGCGACTCGGCGGGCCACTCCAGCCACCCCCTCTCCGGGGTGGAAGTGAAGGCCGAGAACGTGTGCATCTGCTTCATCGACGACTGCCTGGACTGCGATGTCCCGCTGGCTGAGCTCACCTTCTCGCGTGAGTTCCAGAAGCGACGCATTCCATAAGATCAGGCGGCTGATGGATGATGGGTGAAGCATGTGCACCAGGGAAGATTTTGCTCATTATTTTTACACTAATACTAAGAATGACCATGGAATGGAAATGGCTGTATGTCCAGCATGTTATCAGTTCTGTTCCCTGTGCTGCCTGAGACAGGGTCCAGGCTGATTGTGACCTCCTACTGGCTAACAATATGAATATTAACAAATAACAGATGCAGTTATGTTTAAGTAAGTATGAAAAGTTGAAGAAGATTTACAACATTATTTCAAAGGTTGAGGGTTTTAAGGAAAAACAGGTGGCAGTTTTGCAGTGGCACAACAGCACAGCTGATAGTCAGTTTAGAGCTCAGTGCTGGGTGGTGCAGGACCTGACATCAGTTATTCCAAGTCGAGGTTTCGATTTCTAAGCGGATCTGCTGCTATATGACTGGGTGAGATCAGTGGGTAACGCTGTCATCTGAGCTGCCCAGTGCTGATGTGGGAGTGCTGTGTTTGTTGCTGGTGTTTCCATGTCTAACTGCCTTAATCGTGCCTCTTCAGGACTTTATGTACTGCAGCGTATCGGCTCCACCCAGGAAGGCAACGCCAGTTTCACGCTTTCCGGAGACTACTATAACCGCGAGCTGTCCGGTAAGCCGCCCCCCTCTCAGGGCTTGTCGCCCAGCGCGTCACGTACCTACGTGCCCATTAGCCAAATTGCCCCCTCCCTTTGTGTCCCCCAGGCTGGGAGCCCTTCATCGAACCCTGGTCATGTTCCCTCATCTGGCAGCAGCAGGCGGCGGGGCGTTTGCACCCCCCCCGGCTCAGGGTGAGCGTACGGGCCAAGCAGAGGCTGGACATCAACATCACCTCTGTCTTACTCGGTGAGTCCTCAGTAGGGTTGCAAGGTTTCTAGAAACTTTCCGTTGCATGGGAACTTGAATTTTGAAGATATTCCAAGTTGGAAACTTTCCATTGGAATTAACTAGAATATATGGGGATTAACGGGAAAATTCTCCGAATTTTCAACCCTAGTCCTTGCTGGGGGTCAAAGGTCAGCATTCTTCCATCAGTCACTACGCTGCATTTTAGTTTGTCAGGTTTCTTACCGGAAGCTTCCAAGTTCAGTTTCCAACAATGTGACAAATGCCCTTGTCTGACATCTTCATGGTGTAACTTGCATATTAACTTGCACTCCAATGAACGTTTTTTTTCCCCAATTTTTTTTTTTTTGCACTACTTCTGATCTTAATTTGTCTTGCACTGTGTGTTCTGAAAAAAATCTGCTGTAAATCTATTGTCTATTTCCTATTTTCATCCATTTATTTTCATACATAGTGTTCCATGAATTGTTTCTCTTGAATGTCAGGTATTATTGTTATGTTCATGTTTGGCATCGGACCACAAACAATTCTGGTATGTTTGTCCTCACCGGCAATAAAGTGCCTGAGTCCTGAATTCAGATAATATGGACTCGGAGACTCAAAGCAGAGCCTTAGCCTGCAATAATATCTAGTCTGTCTGTTTATAATTGCTGCTTGCTTCCCCCCCCGCAACCCACAGAGCAGTACAGCACCACCAAGAGCTCCTGGCTCGCTGATTACTGCAAGGAGAAGGATGAGGGGGTGACGGCCCCCTGCTCCGCACCCATGCCCTGGATGGGCTCCTCTGTGGACCCGCCCTCTGTTGGCCAGAGTAAGTCTCTGCATTTTTAACCTGTAAATCCAGTGGTAACATTTTAAATAAAATAGATATTTTACAGGTGTGAGATGCTCTGCATTTGATTTTAGTGTTAAACATAATTCTGCAGTGGCCAAGGGCATAACTTTGGGTTGACCATTGAGGGGGGGGTTGAGGTTTCCAACCATTTAAGGTGCTCCAGGGGGTTGTACTGGCTGGATTTGATTCTTGGGGTGGTTATAACCCCCCCCAGTCCCCCCCATAATTTACCACCATGGGTGCGGCTATCAGGGCTCGGACGATGCCTGTTGCCCAGCCCACGAGGCCTTCTGAAGCTCATGTTTAGTACAGACCCGAGATGTTCATACAGCGGAGAAATCTGTTGAAGGTCTTTTGAAGGTCGCAGTGTGGCTGTGTCTGCTACTGGGACACACCCCCTTTTGCGGCATTTCTGCTCTTGTTTAGCAGTCTGGCCAGTTGGGTGACTGTCATCGCCGTCTTGGTGCTTCCTTTGAGAGTCTAGCCCAGCGTTGGCTCTTTTCTTCTCCTCCTCTCCCCTCCTTTCCTAGTCACATGTGTTCGTCTCTCCCCTCTAACTCTCTGTCTCCTTGCTGTCAGGTCTTCCTCTTTTCTACCTTAGAACTAGGAGCTCAGCCAGCTTGACTTGTCTCGAGCAGCAGATTCGTGCCAGAGGTACAGTGCTCAGACTGAGCGGGCTTTTGTCCCGGCCGTGCCGTATGTGCGATAGGCCTGCTGCTTCTCAGCCTTGCCGGATGATTCTGTGCTATTCATCAGGCGGTTTCGTTAATAAAAATGGGGCTTTACAAAGCGTACAAAGAATGAAGACTCTTGTAAGCTTTGTAAGCCCTGAAAACGAGCATCCTTAGCTTTCATTGTGGGAATGTGTACGATACTTGTGCAAGTCGCCATGCAGCGAATCGCTTGGTTTCGCTTGCAGGTCTTCTTCCTGGTTCTGTTGCTTTTTATGTTTGTTTTTGTTTGTTTGCTTGTTTATTTATTTATACTTTTTCTGCCTGTGTTTCTGTTTCATGATTGATTAACAACCTTCTCCCCAGTTTAAGTTGGCTCATTTGTCAGTGTGTCGTCCCGCCATTCTCTCACTCGGCGGTGTGTTTGTTCCCTGTCCTCATTATTGCTTACACTGCGTCGTCGTACATTTTGTCAGGATTGGCACGTAGGACTTTCTTTGGAGCAAAATGGAAATGTAAATCATTTTTTTGATCCTACTTTGAGGCTGACCACATGATTAACTATTTAGATCAGTGTTTCCCAGTCGGTCCTTGGGGACCCACAGAAAGTCCACATTTTTGAGAGGGAGAAAAAACATGAACTGTCTGTGAGGACTGGATTGGGAAGCACTGATTTAGATTAATGTAAAGCTGTATTTGGACAGCCAGTTGTAGATGCAGTGGATGCAGTGAACTGGGCCCAAACAGGCGATGAATTTGCTGAGATTCCCATGGGTTTGCCCAGTACAAAGCCTGGTTCTCATAGTCCTCTTTACTTCCTTCGGGTCCTCAGTGGATGTCAAGCTGTCCAAACGGAGGCAGCCGTTTGTGCCCTATGCCCTGCGGAACCACACCGGATGCACCATGTGGTTCGCCACCCTCACCACCACGCCCACCAGGTGAGGCTCCATCCTTCCCTGGGTGCCAGGGCACAGACCTTTTATTGGGATTAGATACTGTGTCACTGTGAACTGATGGAGCTCCTTTACACCTGTAATGAACAATAATACTGTTATATGATTTGAAGGAATGAGAGTATAATCAATTCAGTTCAATTCAATTTGTTTTTATAATGTTAGTATGTCTAGTAGCGCCTTTCACAACAGAGTCATCCCAAGGCCATTTGCATGGGTATATTGTGGTACATTATAGCATCATTAATACAGAATAATACAAAAACAGGGAAAAGGGCAGACAAAGAAAGAACAAAAGAGAATGAACGAAAGAAAAACAAACAAACAAAAGAACGGATGAAAGAGAATGAAGGAAGGAAAGAGAACGAACAAACGAAAGAGAGTGAACGAAAGAGAACGAACAAACGAAAGAGAGTGAACGAAAGAGAACGAACAAAAGACATACTAACATTATTGAAAAAGAGAGGGTTTGCTTGCTAAAATCAAGGTGTGATAGTTGTGCAATTGTGTGCAGGCAGGTTCCGACTTTTTTAACCTGCTTCCCATTGGGCAGTTAGTTGGTTCTGACAGTGAACCAGACTGTGATTGACAGTAATCCCACCTCTCACATCATATCAGTACTAGAGAGTAGCTTAGTCAAATAACACAGAAGGTGTTGTAGGGGGGCAGCGTGTGGCTCAGTGGGCTAAGCCTGTGTGGCTGTAATCACAAGGTTGCCGGTTCAAACCCAGCCTCAGCACATCTGTGGGTCCATGAGTGAGGCCCTTAACCCCCAGCTCCCTTCACAGACAGCTTACTCCAGAAAAAAAGAGCAAGTTGAGGGAGGCATAAAGACAATTTCAATATACTCAAGATCAATATAAAGTATCAATTATTAAGACCATTTTTTGCATGCTGCTGACATAGTTTGATTTAAAATATGTACATCATTGGGCTTCAGACCAAGTACATCTCCTGGGATTAGAGTCAGTGACCTTTTCAACTGTATGTCCACTAGAAGCATCTGACTTAGCTTGCTGTAGCCCTGATATTAAGAAGCACATTTTTGCCCACAGGGTGGCGCTGTCGCACAGTGGCAGTGCAGATTCCATTTCTGATTCCCACGGGCCAGGTCTGGATGACACTCACAACGTCAGCCAGTGGCGGGAGGTGCTGCCGGGAGAGGAAATCCCCTTTGAGTTTGAGGCCCGGGAGAAACTGAGGCACAGGTGGGTGTGGGGTCCGTGTCTAATATATTTGTTTATTTTAAGATCACATGTGATCCAGAATAGAAGTGGGTACAGAGGATGGATGAATGAATGGATAGAGGAATGTTTTTATTTATTTGATAATGTTCATCTTTGTTCTAGACAGATTGAGTGTTGGGTATTGTGGTAGTAGCAGTGGTTTGTCTTTGACCCCTGGGGAGCAGCCTTGGTCTTTATCTGGCAGATTTGTGGCAGCGTCCTGCTGGTTTTGAGTTTGGCTGACCTTGTTCCAGGCACACCCATGACCTGAAGCTGCATCAACTGCTGGTTCGTGTGGGAGGCTGGGAGCAGGTAAAGCCTGTCTCCGTGGACAAGGTGGGGGTGTTCTTCCGCTACGCTGCCCCTGATCGTAACAACCAGTCCAGCACCGTGAGTCCCTCTCATCCGGCTTGAAACTAACATCTCACTCTGTTGTTCAGATTCTGTGAACCACCTCATTCTTGTGGAATAAGTATGGAGAATTCCGGTCTTTCTGCGTAGGGTAGACAGTGCTGTTTGTTGTTATAGTGACTCTTTGATCTGAAAGCAGAGACCTGCCAAAGTCATTTTTAGGTGTTGCGATGTGACGCAAGCTCAAAGGAACTGTATCTTTTTATCCTTCTGTTTTTTGTACATAATATAAAAATTTATCAGCTTTTCATCCACTAGGTTGGCAGCCCAATCAGTCGGACCAACATTATACATCCTCACGTCTACGTAAGTCCATCTTTGTTTCATAAAAATCTTTGTGGAACTTGCCAAAGGTAGAACTCTTATTGAAACTGTCAGAGACTTTCACTGTCTGCCCAGATTTAACAGAATCCTCTGTGAATTCATAGAAGTCTTCTATCTGTGGTTTCTTTGTCCTCTGCCTTCCAGTTCTCAGCCCTTCCACCAGTCAGAGTGGTCTTCTCCATCACCATGGAAGGCAGCGCACGCAAGGTCATCACAGTACGCTCAGCGCTCATGGTCAAAAACCGGCTGGAGGTCCCCATGGAAGTTCGCCTGGACAGTCCGTCTGCCCCCGACAGTGAGTGTCACCTTTCTAGCCCGGACAGTAAGTGAAGTGAAGTTTTACTTAGTCTGAGATGCTTGAAGCCAACACTCATTCCTCATCGCCAACAGAGCCAGTGGTTCTTCCCCCAATCCTGCCTGGCGAGTCCCTTGCTGTGCCCCTGCACCTCACTTCCTGGAGGCTGCAGGCTCGGCCAAAAGGCCTGGGCCTCTTCTTCTGCAAGGCTCCGATCCATTGGACCACTGTAGAGCGGCCCGGCGAAGTCAGCAGCAGTAAGAGGGAGTGCCAGTCGGTGGACTTTGAGGACCACCTCAAACGCAGCTTCAGGTACAATGGTTGTGCCCAAGGCAAAGGACTGCCTGTGGATGGGTACATCATGTAGGAGACCTAGTGCACTTCCTGAAATAAGGACACTATTTCTGTAGCTTAATAAGACAATCAAGTATGACTGCTGATGACAAACATATTCAGGTCAAGTTCAGGCACATGCATTTTTGAATAGATCCAGTGGGTTTAGTAAACGGCTTCATGTTTCTGGCTCTGAGATTCTGCGTGGTGATCAAGAAGGAGTTCTACCCTGAGCAGCAGCCGGCGAAGGCCGTGCCAGGGGCACCCAAGCAGATATACCGGCAGCCTGGCCACACCATCTACCTGCTGCCCACGCTGGTCTTGGCCAACCTGCTGCCGTGTGACCTCAACTACTACCTCAAGGGCACCACCATCAAGGGCACCATGAAGCCCGGCAGGGAGGCCGTGCTGCACGCCGCAGATACCTCCCAGAACATGGAGCTGGGTGAGGCCCCCGGGGAAAGCTCTTAGCTAGGCTACCGCTGGTGGTTAGCTCAAAACCCAAGAAGAGTCATGCTGCTGAATCCTTGAAGAGAGAAATGAGGCTTTGAACGTTGTGGTCACTGGAGTTACTCTGCTCTGTGAAGCAGACTAGTGGGTTGGAGAAGCTGTTGATGAAGAGCACTCATAAGTACTGAATCTGGATGTCTTGGAAGCAGTGGGGGGTGTTCATATAGTACTCCATTCTGTATTAAAAAATCTCCTTCACGTTCCTTCATGTCTACCACCATTTGCTTGTTCAGTGCTTTTAGTCTCCATGTCTGTAACCCAACCCAAGGACACTGACCCAACTCTCTTTGCCCCACCTTCACTGATTATGCACCTTGCATGTTTGCATGGGACTTTCCTGATTTCCATTCAGGAATCAAGTACCATCTTGTGTTTCAGTTCATGCTTTTATGACCTACTGTGCTGTATACGGTCTTATTTATTTCTTTGTCGGGGGGACTGTTGTGGTGGGATTTTTAAATACTGCTCTAGCACTAAAAAGTTCTGCCTTACCAATAATTGCTTGACAGCCCAATAAAAACTAGTTAGGTGATGCAGTGCGAATGGTTTACTGCACATGGTAATCCCTCCCAATGCTTTGCAAATCCTTCTTTCTCTCACCACTCTTAATTGGTGTGTCGAACGAAATAACTAGCTATATAAACAGGCAAAATAGAAAACAGACAAAGCATCTTCACAACATTTATTTTATTGCATGTATATATCTATAGCTACGTATTCCGACCCATACTTCCGATTGGGTTTAGGGTCATATTCTAGGATTTAGTTGAGCTACAGGTGTCATTTTTGCCTGGATAGATTCAGTCATATGATTCTGTCTGACACTGAATCCACTCGGGTTTGCAACTGCCAGATAAACCATGATGTCTAGACTGAATTTGTTCACCTACCTTTCAGAGATCTTAAAGGTCTTACCAGAACTCAAGGGTGTTCTGCACCTGATGTCCGTGGCTGAGGCTGTGCCCGGCCCCCTCCCCGTGTAGCGCGTTAGCCTTAATTCTGGCTGCTCCGTGCTCTCTCGGCAGGCGTGCTGCTGGAGAACTTCCCCATATGCAAAGAGCTGCTGATCCCACCGGGAACCCAGAACTACGTGGTGCGGATGCGGCTGTATGACACCAATAAGAGCCTGCTGTGCCTGACCATCCGCATCGTGCTCCGCGCCCAGGGAGCCCTCAAGATCCTCATCTCCTCCCCCTACTGGCTCATTAACAAAACCGGTATGCCACCTGCAACCACTTGTGACCAATCCATACATGCTTAATGGGCTATATCAATATGGTACGATCAACTAGCATATGGCTTTTAAACCAATTTTTGTTTTTGATTCATATTTAATTGAATTAATTTTTATTTGTATAGTGCGTTTTCACAATATTACATTGTTTTTAATAGGGCAACCCTATCCCTGCCAAAAGCCTGCAGTGAGCAAGCCAGAGGAGACAGTGGCAATGAGAATCACAGTAGTATGAAGAAATCTTGGGAGGAACCAGGCTCTAGGGGCCAGCAGAGGAAGTCAAATTAGCAAAGTCCTGATTTTATGCGCTCAAGTTTAAGTCTGTGTAAATGCAGAATCACAGGCAGCAGGGAAGGCAGGAGGCCGTCACAGGTAGTAGGGGCATCACAGGTAGTAGGGGCATCACAGGTAGTAGGGACGTCACAGGCAACAGGATAGGCAAGATATTTTGCTTCTTTTGTATCTCCAGGCAGCACTCCCCAGGACGGGTAGGGGGGGGATAAAAAGTGCATTAGCCTTATTAGGGGAGACTAGAGGCAGTGCAGACAGTTAGGTGAGTGTAATATGTAAGCTCCGGCAGATATGGCTATGGCAGCATAAGTAGGAGGGTGAGGGAGGTGGGAACGCAGGCATGGGGGGTCCCTGAACATCAGCACTGCTATTTCACAGGGGGGTGTGAAGCTACAGCAGGGATGGGCAATCTTATCCACAAAGGGCCGGTGTGTGTGCAGGTTTTTGGGATAACCTTTAGGTCAGCTGTTCAAACCCAGGTTCGAGGACTCTTCAGTCAATCAGTCCTCTAATTAGTAAACTCATTATCAGTCCAACACTGGATGGGGGCCAGTGAAGGGAGCATAGGACAGGATTAATATGGGTATTTCTTTTAGCTTTTGTAAAAACTCTGGCTGCTGCATTTTGTACTAGCTGAAATTTATAAAGGCATGGATACGTTTTTCTGCATCATGAAAGGAAAGCATCTTCCGAAGCCTGGCTGTGTTCCGTAAATCGTAGAACACAGTTCTTGTAATACTGCTTATGTAAGCATCGAAACATAGATCTAAATCAACCAGGATACCAAGATCTCTGACCAATGTCTTAGGATCAACAGGAAGACCACCAAGGATGAGGCTATAAAAACTTATTTCAAGCCACCTTGGAACCAGTCAGCAGCACTTCCGTTTTCTCTGTGTTTAGCAGAAGGAAATTTTTATCCATCCAGTACCAGATGTCTAGAAGATGTCTGGTTTGACAGAAATATATAACTGTATATCATCAGCATAACAATGGAACCAAGCAACATGATTTCTAATAATGTTACCCAGTGGTAGAAGATTTAAAGTAAACTGAAATGGACCCAGAACTGATCCCTGTGGGATGAAATGTTTAGCATTAGTGGGCTTGATTCATCAAAATTAATTTTGAGGAAAGGATTCTACACTGACCTTAAAACATAAGCCCATGCAGTGGTGATTGTTTGCCTTGATACTACTTCCCCCCCCCCCCCCCCCCATACTTTCAGGGCTCCCCCTGATCTTTCGCCAGGACAACGGGAAGACTGATGCAGCCGGGCAGTTTGAGGAGCACGAGCTGGCAAGGAGTCTGAGCCCGCTGCTCTTCTGCTACACGGACAAGGAGCAGCCTAGCATGTATGGTGCCCCTCCCCCAATGGATTAACACATCTTATATAGGTCTTTTGAGGACCGCTTAGTGCTTAAATACATTGAATCCTCCCTCTGAGGTTGCCTCTTCAAGTCAGCTTCAGAGGGTGATAGTAGTAATCTCCTTATATTAGTCTTTGGGGTCTTATGACCTATAGCTTACCTATTCATGTATGTGTAAGTACCTTCAAGGTACGTACCTGAAGAGCTCCATTAACAACATCCTGCTGTATGTTTTGCACAAGTGACTTCCTTCCTTTACTTCAGTGTAATTTTTCTTTACAGGTGCACGATGCGGATTGGGAAGGGCATCCATCCAGATGGCGTCCCGGGTTGGTGCCAGGGCTTCTCTCTGGACGGAGGCAGTGGGGTGCGGGCAGTCAAGGTCATCCAGCCTGGGAACCGACCCGGACTCATCTACAACATAGGCGAGTCGCTGTCGAGGCATGAGGGGTTGCTGATCCAGTGGCAGTTGCTGAATTCCTGGCTATGGTTGCAGGCATCAACGTGAGGAAGGGAAAGGGTCGCTATCGGGACACGCACATCGTCACCTTCGCCCCCCGATATCTGCTGGACAACCGGTCCTCCCACAAACTTGCTTTTTCCCAGCGGGAGTTTGCTCGAGGAAAGGTGAGTGTTGGATCTTGTGCTGATTAACCTAAAAAAACCTTCTGAAATTATGGAAACTAGGATAAGCGGAATGAAGATGATGATGATGACTATGTCACCTGACTGTTGACCATGCTCCATAGTTATTAAGCTTCTGTCTCAGGGCACTGCCAACCCAGAGGGCTACATATCAACTCTTCCTGGCTCCAGTGTGGTCTTCCACTGGCCCAGGAACGATTATGATCAGCTGCTCTGTGTGCGTCTCATGGACAACCAGAACTGCACCTGGTCAGGAGGCTTTGAGGTCAACAAGCCCAAGTCATTCCATGTCAACATGAGGTATGGGGTCAGAGCTTGTCCTCACCACAAACTTGGGTTGACCTCAGGCTTGAATGTGACCTACGTGCAGTTTGTTTACATTGCAACGAGAGCTTATTTCGCCATGATAATGTATGAATACAAGCAGTATATAAAAGGTAATAAAAGTGCTGCTCAATGTTATTAGTGACCTTGTGGTTCTTATTCATGTATGTTAACTGTGGAACCTCAATATTTGTTCCCTCTGATGACTGATTTTGTGCCTATTATAAGCATGAAAGGCTGATTTCTATAACAAATTTTCATCAGGGACACTTTAGGAAATTGCTTCTTTCTTCGTGCTGAAATCACCCTCAAGGGAGCAACCTATCAGATCTCCTTCACTGACACCGACCAGCTGCCACCACCCTTCCGTATCGACAACATCTCTGAGGTGAGGGGTGCATCTCCAACAGTATCCGTCAGATAAGCACCAACCAGTGAATGAGACTTTATGTAATAGGTCACATTTTTATCATTAGAAATGTCACAAAGTGGTTTTCACGGAAGAATTGAAAAAATGATAAATCCATTTTGCCAATATTGGGAAGAACTTATTTATTACATTGATTATTTTTTATTCCCTCTGCGAGTTGCTTTATGGCTCTATTGAAATAATCAAGGGATGCAGTAGCTGTTTGCCGCTTGGTGTATTTGAATTTTTTGTTCCCTATTCAATTTTCAAGAGAAGGAAAATTTACTCAACTTGCATCAGTTACCAAATTGTGTACTGGACCAATCCTGGGCAGCTTACTGACCCAGTAATGGATAAGTGTTTGGAAGATGGGCAGATGGGTCATCTTGAGTGGTAACATTTATTGCTCTTCAGTTCTCGTTTTCTGATGACGTGCATGAGCTGCCTCAGGCTATAGCGAGTCCTCAACCGGCGTTTCCTCATCTGCCCATCAGAAGCGACTTGCTCACCTTCTCATCTATCTCCAGGTGCCCATCCAGTTCTGGCAACATGGTGTGATTGACCATCGCCTGCACACGGAGGTGAAGGCCGGAGCCGTCCTGGAATATGCCTGCGATGAGCCCACACTCCCCCCTTACCTCAGCCTCACAGTCAAGGGGGCAGGGTCGTCTGAGGTCACAGCGGACATGAACTTCTTCCGGGAGTACAACAAGCTCTACTACGAAAACTTTATCTACATAGCGGCCACATACACCTTCTCTGAGTAAGTGTGAGATCGGCTCTCACTGTAAACCAGTGTTTCTCAAACAAGTCCTTGGCAGCTGCCCCAGACAGCAGAAATGTGGACTGTTTAGAGGTCCCTGAGGACTAGGTTGAGAAACACTGCTCTAAATGTTCACCAGTTTTCTGATTGTGATTCATAAATGTCGTCTTCTGTGATACTTCTATGTAATAAACGAGGGTTATCCACCCTGTGAACTGCTGTGAGATGTCTTGGGGTTCTGGGACTCGTGCCAGAGGACATGTGACAGACATCGGCTCAGAACCCAGATGGTTTCCATGCTTGGTCTGATTATGTGTCACAGTGGTGCAGAGGCAGATGGAAGGATGGAGACACATGGCCTGTTGATTAAAAGTGTGAACATGTGTTGCAGGGATGCTGAGAATAGACCCGTCGGGAAGAAAGGGGCTGTGAGGTGTGCTCAGCTAGTGCTGGACGTGGAGACCAAGACCCAGAGAGTCATCCTGAAGAAGAAGGTAAGATGTTGCTCTCAGTCATGGTCAGAAGTGGGAGAGCAGTGTTGGGTCTCCTGCACATGTGTGGCATTTCATCGCCCAGGAACCAGGGAAGCGCTCTCAGCTCTGGAGGATGACTGGTTCGGGCATGCTTTGTCACGAAGGCTCCTCCCCCCCTCAGAGTAAACCCGCCCAGCCCCGCCCTCTCCACTCCTCCCTCGTCCTTGACATTGCGGGATTGGCTGCCGTCACTGACAACAGGTGGGAATCATTACGATTGTCACGATCTGTGTACCGTCAGGCTGGAACCAATTATTCTGTTTGTAATTGTTTATGGTGTAACTCATTACTGAAACTGCAGGCTTCGTGAAGCCTGATTAAGCAGCATTTGGAATGGTGTCTGAAGAGAGATCCGTATATCTGGTGCATTTCAAATATGAAAAATATTACATTTTCGGATGGATTCGTGACCCTTCTATCACAACAATGCAAATAGTAAAATTGCCATCACATGGATGTTGTGCTTTAGGTTTTTACTAGGTTACAGTTTAACCAGATATGTTTTTCCCGGCTTTAAAAGAGTGCAGGAGTTTTCGTAAACCGCAAGTACAGAGTAAAACGCCATTTCTTCTGAAAGTGGCAGAAGATACTTTGTCCAGGTGCAGGATGGGTTCACCTGGTTATATAACGCCGTCTCCTCTAGATGTTAGCCCTTTCTTCAAAGATCTTCTCTCCAGTGTTTATGAAACTGAAGACCTAAAGAGCGCTTGCAAACATCTGCTGATGATAGAGGCGAAGCTTGTGTGAGCTTAATGAGGAACATGTTGGCTGGTCCGTGAGAACCGTGTTCCCCTGTCTGCCCCCCCCCCCCCCCCAGCTACGAGCCTCTCATGCTGAGGAGACCAGACCCGCGACGGAGCACCACTCAGACGTGGCACTTCTGCTCTGGCATGCTCACGTGTGGCCTGCCCAGACTGGTGGCTCAGGTTGGTGTCCGTCAAAGTGCCAACCACACTAGCAGTTATGCTATATGGATAGACTCCATTGGGACACCTGGCCATTACAGTAACTTTGACATCCCTTTCTAAATCTATAGACATCAATATGGAGTTGCCCCCCCCTTTGCTGCTGTAACAGCTGGCACTCTTCTGGGAAGGCTTTCCGCAAGATTTTGGAGTGTGTCTGTGGGAATCTTTGCCCATTCATCCAGAAGAACATTTGTGAAGTCAGGCACTGATGTTTGGCATGAAGGCCTGGCTCGCAATCTCTACGTTCTAGTTCATCCCAAAGGCGTTTGACGGGGTTGAGGTCAGGGCTCTGTGCAGACCAGTCAAGTTCTTCCACACCAGACTCACCCAACCATGACTTTATGGACCTTGTTTTGGCAGTAGGGCACAGTCATGCTGGAACAGAAAAGGGGCGCCTTTCCCAAACTGTTCCCACAAAGTTCGAGTTATACGAAATGTCTTTGTATGCGGTTATAGCCGCAAAGGGGGAACATCGATATTGATGCCTATGGATTTACAATGGGATGTCATAGAAGTTCCTGTAGGTGTAATGGCCAGGTGTCCCAATGCTTTTGTTCATATAATGTATGTTTATGTGAGTGAAAATGACCGTCTATAAGTAGTGCTGAAAATCAAGAGGAGCACGTAGCACCTTAAAGAGGCTGGTGTGTTCTCCAGGTGAAGGGCGGGCTTCCCGGGCTATACGACGGGGCGGAGGTCGTGCTCGGACCCAATCTAGCACTCCTTGACCTCCCCCCCGCGCAGCAGTTTGTCAACCAGAAGATGCGCCCGGGCTCCGGGGTGCTCTCGGTGCAGGTGCTTCCCGACGGGCCGACTCGAGTCCTGCAGGTGAGCCCCGTCTCTGGTGGTGGCTCCGGGTCGCACGCCGCCGGAGAGCCGCGGGAAATTCGGAGGTTCCTCTCATCCCCCGTTTGATACCTGTTTTCAGGTGAGCGACTTCAACCAGCACCACATGACCCAGCACGCCTCGGGGGCAGAGGGGGAGCACAGTGAGGAGAGCGAGCAGGCCGGGGCCCCGGAGCAGGAGCTGGAGGTACGAGGGGGCTAGTATTTATCTAATTAAGTTAATTAAATAATTGAGCTGGTGGGAACCAAAGAGGTGTGGGTTAGGGTTAGTTAATTTGCACGTTTCACTATTTTGTTATCTTCAGAGCAAATACACACTTACTACCCAGATAAAAATAGCCTTTTCACACATTTTCTTTGACTGCCTAAGACTTGTGCATAGTACCATAGGTCATAAACGGCTCCCGTCCGGCTCTCCCAGGTGCTCGTCAGCCTGGAGGATGGTCTGGCCCTTTCCCTGGTCAACAAGCTGCCAGAGGAGCTTGTGTTAACCACGCTGTCGGGCATTGATGTGCACTTCACCCGCACGGCCGCCAGCCAGGTGCTGGAGCTCAGCGTGCAGAACATCCAGGTGAGGCTCCGGATGCTGTGCTGAACGGCGTCAGTTGGGGCTGGTTCACAGCCGCAAGCTTTCTGGATTAAGGGAAAGGCTTTTCTGTCGTTTGTTCACTAAACAAAACCAGTGCACTGGGCTGGACTTCAAACAGCCAAACTACACATAATGGATAACATAAAATAATTCAGGCATTGGTCTGTTTTTCAGTTGCTAAGCCTTCAGAATCACTTTAACGACTGAAAAAATAAGCAGAATATCAACAGTGTACCCTGAAGTTTCCCTAACTACATTAGCAAGAGCTGGTTGCTGTGCAGGCAGATATAATTTTACACCTGATTTCAGAGCATTTCTGCTGCTGAAAATTCATTAGGTTGTGTTAAAAATATTAAGGATGATTGTGAAAAACCACGAATCCATTTAGCCTCAAGTTACTGCAGTAAGTTTTTGATACTGAGACTGAAGAATGCAGGGATTTGTGTGTAATACTATTGTAAGCGTACTGCTTATCTAAGTGATTAACCTTCATCACACATTTCTGTATGGGCTTCCTCCATATAAGATGCCTTTATTGTACTGCTAACTACGCCTGTAGTTGGGTTGTACCAATGTTGAATGCAGGTGAGTTTTGCTCCCGTTATGGTAGCTCTGCTCACTAAAACAGCCTTTGCCCTCTTCCCCCACCCCCTCCCTAAGCTTGGTATAACCCCCGTCGCCGCCTTCGATCCCGACAGGTGGATAACCAGCTCCTGGGCACCACGCAGCCAGTGATGGTGTGCGTCACACCCTGCTCCGGTGAGGACAGCGTCATGGAGACAGGCCCAGCCCTGCAGGTCAACTCCGTCAAGGTGCCCAGCAGCCTCTCGTTGACTGAGCTTTTTAAGGTGAGGGACGCCCAGTGCTCTCCTAGACACTGCATCAGCCCGTCATCTGCTTTCAGATGAAGGACATGCTTTATGTTTTTTTTTTATTTTTTAATAGTCTTGTGAGATTTCTCGTGCCACATTTAAGGTCCTGCAGTCAAGGCCTGTTTAGAGCAGAGCCGTAGCCGGTATTGCAGTTCTGCCCTATTTTACATGTGGGGAACCTTCTTGTTCCAGCATCTGATGGTGACCACCTGCCACTTCACGGTCATCGTGGAGGAGAAGCTGCTGCTGAAGCTTCTCACCTTTTTCGGTTACGGCCAGTCGGTCGCCGGTACGTTGGCGGAAGGCTGTGGCCCCCGGGGACAGATCTTGACCGTGGTGCCCGAAAAACGTGAAGCCGACATGGGCGAGTGCTAGTGATGTACCCAGCTGTTACGATGGGTTTGAATGGATGAGTATCTGCTCAACCTCTCTGTCCCCTTTCAGAGCTGGAGAAGCTGGATGAGAACCTGTATGAGAAGCCCAGCGAGGAAGGTGGGACTCCCAAGCACTACTACTTTGAGAACCTGAAGATCAGCCTGCCACAGGTCAAGCTGAGTGTCTTCACCTCTCACAAGCTCCCCCCGGACCTCAAGGTACCTGCCAGCCAGTTGGCAGCCCACTCTTCTGTCCTTCACTCCAGAACTGCTGTCATCTACACCATCAAAATGCGGAGTGCAGTGTCTGTGTGGCCAGGCTTTCCAGTTGCTTGACTGATTTAGTGTCACCGCCTTTTGCCACAAGGGGGTGCAAGAGCCCTGTTTACATATCACTTTGTTCCATGCGCCAATTAACCTGAATGCTATGACAAATTGGCTGTATACCAGTCTGTCGTCTATATTATTTTTTGCTACTTATTTCATTGCCTGCATGTGAGTTTATGTATTTTTTTTTGGTTTTACTAGGGATGTAATTGTAAAATGTTGCAGTTTTAAAATGCGTAGTTTGTGTAATTATGATCATACATCATCAGTTAGAATATTAGTCCTCTATTATCATGTCTTATTTTCAAAGGGATTATTGAAGTAAAAGAAATATTATTCACAGACATTTACATCTTCCAAAACTCATTAGCCCAGCCCCCCCCCCCCCATAATAAACTGGACCTTCATCCTCATACCCCCCCAAATCCCTGACGGTCCTCCGTTCCCTCTTCCCATGGTAGGTTGACACTGATGGTTCCCTTGTTGGCTTGCTTGTGTTGTTTCTAGGCTCTGAAGGGAACTCTGGGATTCCCCCTCATCAGATTCGAAGATGCCGTCATCAATATGTACCCTTACACCCGGGTCCATCCCTACGAGACTCAGGAGATCATCATCAACGACATCCTGAAGCACTTCCGGGAGGTGAGCTCGTACAAGAAGTCCATTCTTAGAGGATTTCTGTCATCTATCCACGTGATGGGCTCTAGTCCGCCATGCGGGTACAATCTAGCAGGTAATAACACTGATGGTTCCCCCCAGGAGCTGATGGGCCAGGCAGCCCAGATTCTGGGCTCAGTAGACTTCCTGGGAAACCCCATGGGTCTTCTGAATGATGTCACCGAGGGCGTCTCTGAGCTTATCAAGTACGGCAACGTCAGCGGCCTCATCCGCAACGTCACCCATGGCGTATCCAACTCTGCTGCCAAGGTAGGGGTCTTTGTACTCCGGGGAAGAGTCCCACCGCCGAAACAGGCACCAGAGAAAGGTGTAGCCCCAAGTGTCCCCGTTTGGGTCAGGTGGCGTTCTGTGATCCTCGCAGAAAATGGAACCTTCCTCTTATGATAAAGTACCCAGTATCCAGCTATGCCCATCATTCACTATCCTTCCAGCTGCGAGTGGGAAGAGTGATGGATGGATGGATGGATGGATGGATGGATACATATGTACTTAATTGATCCCAAGGGAAATGAGTTTAATGAGCGTAACATCCGCAATAATAAGCCGCACTCTCTTGCAAATCTGACTGTTTATATGTCAGACGCTTCAAGGTATCGTAAAACATTCCTGTCAGTAACCTCTCCTTATTTCATTAGCATTTCTCACTTTGCGATCCACTTATTAATTACATTTGCATGTGTCTGAAATGTTCTGTCATTTACTTTAACACAACTTACGCAAGGTATGAACAGTTCATCTTGCTCAAAGGCATCGGAGGATCCCTTTGTCAGACTAAAACGGGCAAGCTATGATTATAATATATATATCATGACGTTAACCAGTACGCCCCCTGATGGCTGTAGCTGGAGCATATTCCATGGTCTTTCTTAAGGCTGGTCTCATTTAGCATCAGTGCATTAGTGGCCTCTCTGCGGCCGGCTTTGTCCCGCAGCCTGTTCAGTGTGTGGTCTGCCCTGTAGCCCAGTAAACCCCGGGCTCCTAGGCCCGTATCCAGGTTCTGGCACGCTGCTGACCCAGTCTCCCCCTCACCACCAGCAGAGCTGCACCTTCTTGAGCAGATCCCACCTTTCAGCGTCCGCCAGCCCAGTGTAGCATCCGCTGTTCGGAGAGCTTGCTCGTCAGCTCAGGTCACTCTCGTCTTTGTCCTGCGGAGGTACAGACAGCCAGCAGGTCTCCTCGGAGAGCCCCGTCCTGGCTCTGGGAACGGTACTTTCACCCAAAAGCGCTCAGGAGCCAAGTGTGCTGTTTTTTCCTTTTTTTTTTTTTTAAATCTTCTGCTTATGGCTACTTTGGATGCAAATGGCTATCAGGAAGAAAAGATTTCCAGCACTTACAAGCATAACAGTTACGGGAATGCTTTGGAACTTTTAATAGTGCTTATCTCTGTTTCACTTTTATTGGTGCTGATATTATTTGTGTTTTAATTAAGTTGATTTATGTATTTGAGTTCTGGTTAATAAGAGGAGAAACTAAAGCAAGGTGTTCAGCTGTACTTGTGCAGATCCCAGCCTTTCGTGGTCTTCGCTTTACTCACCTCTGGAGGCATTAGTCTGCTGAAGTCCGTTTGCTTTTGTCCTGCTTGTTTCCACACCCATTCTCTGGATATTAAGATGGGATCACTGGTTTGCATTGATGTTTTGGTTGAAGCCCATCATCCAAGAGGATCCCGCGCGCTTCCACTGGACCCAGCAGAACAGTTTATGACCCTCTTTCTGCCTGAGTAATGCAAATTGCTTCTAGCAGTTTCCTACAAAAAAGAAGTTGCCAAGACGTTTTGTCATCAATGGTGGATTCCCACGCTTATTTCGAATCGAAATAGTTTTCATCCAGAATGGTTCATGATAAAGAGATTAAGTCTATTGTCCGTACCCGGTCTGGTTCGCTTTGCAGTAATCTGTCTTTCCCTTTGGTCTCACAAAACATGTGGTGCTGAGGGCTGAAATGTTTTATAACTTTGCGTGGTCCAATGCTGGCTTTAATCTCTTACATTTCTGTTGACGCTAAGATGTTTCATAAGCTCAGCTGGGGTCACTTGGTTTATGAGCTATCTGTCCCCTTTAGTCTGTTCCACAACAGGCCAGAACCCGCTAACTGATACCTTCTGTACGTTTTACATACTCCTAACTCCATGAACTCAAAGCTTCATTGTGAGAGGAGAAAAAAAAATCTCCTGCTTGGACGACATCTGAAGGAATGACTTTAAACTTTTAAACTCTGGCGGTGCCGCTCGAACTTGTTCGCCAAAATATCCCTTCAAAAAAAAAAAAAAGGGTGGATTCATATCCTGAAGGACCAATCAGTGGTCAGAACGTGACTTGTCCTCCACCCTTTCTCTCAGGCCTGTTTTCTGTCTGTTATTGTCTCTGTTCACAAAAGTTTTATATATATATTTATGCATTTCTCAACACATCAGTCTAGAAATATGCATATGTGTTGTTTGTCGTTTTCTCCCCCCCTCTTCTTTTTTTTTGGGAGGCAGGAGGGGCCTTGTTATGAAGCTGGTGGGAGAGGATCTGTAAACCTGAAAGCATACCCCCCCACCCCCCCAGCACCGCTCGGATCTGTTTAGTATATTGGTTTGGATTTGCGAGACGTGGCCGTGTGCTCTCTCTCTCGCTCTCACACACACACGCATACGCACACACACATACACACACACGCACACACATGTAGGGTATACATATCCTTATGGGGACCGCTCATTCATTTCAAT